TGTAATTTTTACGCATAAAGATAACAGCTTATTATATTTTACAAATTGTAAAAAACAATAGTCCGCTTGTTGTAAGTATCAATTTGATACGGTTGGTTACACACAGAACTCATTGTTACCGCTTAATAATAAGATGTAAAATTCAATATTATCTGTCGGCGAAGCAACGCATTGTAGTCACACTGACCAGCATTGTTATTAAAAATTTACCAACTAAAAAATGACGTACAAGCTGATTATTTAATAACACACCTACTTGAAAGTTGCAGTTTTTAAAATTACCATACCGTATATTTTGCATGAACAAACGTGTTAAGTTATTTGCAGGGAATTTTCTTCGTCTCTGAAGCAGATTGGGCGTGCTTCAAACTTAACGATTCGGTACAATTGATGTTATGTAATTTAACAACGATTCATCGTCAACATAATTGATTTCATATTTTCTCAAAACATTTTGTTGTGTCTGTCTGTATTTAGATATATTTCGTAAAATTATTCCTTAAATGTACATTTAAGGAATAATTTTACGAAATATATCTAAATACAGACAGACACAACAAAATGTTAATTTTTTGAGGTATGGCTAGCAGGCGAAGTTAAAGTAACAGTGAAATCTTGGGTCACAAGTAGGGTTAACGATATGCATTTGAAATATAGTTTACTACGTTTTTTTTTTCTTTGAAACCACGTCATTAATTTATTGGCGAGGATTAGTAAGTTTATACTTAACGTCACTAAAAATACAACAGGGTACGAAAAGTAGGAGCTGTTTTGGTGGAATTTCTTAGTTATTTTGTAAATTTCAAAGTTTTTAAAAATTTGTATAGATTACTATGAATTGATTACTGATACTGTTTTAGTAAAGAAACAGTTATAAAGTGATAAATTGCCGCCAATAATGGTGCTAAGAACTGTTAGGACTTGAAATTTGGATCAGTTAAAAAAATTAAACTGCTTCGACAGACACATGTTTGATAAATTTATCTCACAACATGTGGCCATCGACGCAGTTCAAACGGTAAATGTCTTTAAAAAAAAAAGATCGATTTTTTCAGTTGTATGTTTCAATGATTTACAAAAAAACTACCTTATTTTACGACGAAGGATTTAAATTTAAGATAAAAAGAAACGTATTTGGGTTTATGGTGTGTTTGGAAAAAAAAACAGGCTCGCAAATAGCTGTCTTATTTTTTCGAGTACAGCATTGAGTAAAACAAAGTTCTGATGTGAAAAATTAAATTCACTAATGTAATTTAAAATTTAAATAGTTCCATTAACAAAAGTTACAAAAATTGTCAAACTTGCTAACATAAATTTTGACGTGAATTAACTAGATTTGTACACAAAAATAATTGTGTTAACAAATTCATCGCAGAGATCTCGGCACAAAAATTAAATTAAAATTAAATCTCCTAGAATCTCTAAAAATATTTCTAACAAACCAGAAACGCGCATTTTCGTATTTTAGAGCTGTATGTCACCAAAAAAAAAACTTGGAATGAGACGTCTAGAAATGGTCCCACTAGCGGTCGCTTGTAGAAAAATAAACCGATGTATAGTGAACCAAGAGTTATAAGGTTATATGGCCATCATAAAATCATCCCATTGTGTCGAAGTTAAGTTGTTTACAATAGAAAAGGTTTTAGGGTCGTAAATAACGTGTCCATTGCAGCTCGACCGGCTCTTGTGGTTTCGTTCAGGGGCGGCTTTCACTAAATATGAAAATCCACCACTCCACTATTTCTTTACTACCTGCAGCCGCTGAGGGTTCCGAAATAACCACTCGCTTTGAAAGCCGGCCCTGTTAAATATGAGCAAGAAATGTTTAGAAGATGATTTATTGCCAACCGGTAAGCTGAGTGCGAACCACACAAAGGGGGTATTTATTTGCGGTCAACTACTTTTATGATGGCTATATAACCTTATAGCTCTTGGTTCACTATAGATAAGTATACATATTTCCTTTCAAGGCAAAACTTTTAAGTTTTATTTTGATTTTTTTTAAGTGGTAGTGGGAATAAACACATTTAGTTTTAATATGGACAGTAATCACATGGGCTTCTAGAATTGCAAGTAATTTAGGTCAGCAACTTTTGGAATAATGGATGAGATACAAATAACGATTTAAATAGTAATTAATTAAAAAAAAAAAACGCTGATACACAAGTAAAATTGCATTTTAAAAGGAACCTGTCAGTAAAAATTTATTTAATGTTTTTGCGACGAGGTCGTCAATTTTTGGAAAGGATGAATAAGTAAATTTTAATTAAAATTCCAGATCTCTGGATCACTGTAGTGTCTTACTAAAATTTCAGACTAATCGATATAGTAGTTTTAGAAATTATTCGTTTCTCAAACGTGTCAACAAATAATATAAAATTAGGTATTTAGATAAGGTGGTAATACTAAAGAAATCTATCCAATGTGAGTTTTCTTCGTAGTTGAAAGGATTGTTCAATGTGTTGTTTAATAGGAGGCTTCTTTAATAGCGATAAACTGATAAATTACAGTTATTCTGTAATTCTTGTATTATTATTAAAGCATTTAATCACCACATTCCTCCTTTTTAAATTCACGATAATTTAATATCACTTTAAAAGGAAGTTTACATATTATGTTCCTGTGTGAGCGGCATATCATTAGCTGAGTACAGTACACTTAAAAAATGATTATCGCTCCTTGTGATGTGTACAGTACTCAATAAAAATTCTTGTCAATATTCCCAGTCACATTTTTCAATGAAACATGAAATAAATCAATAATTAAGATAAAGCAATTTTCGAAAGTATTAATTAGGGACCAAAAAAGTTGTTTTCACAATTAGCAGTAGAAAATTTAAATTAAGCAAGTTGTTTTTTACGAGAGTAGATCGTTTACCTCGACGAAAAAGTAAAAGTAACATGTCTAAAATATTTTCAAAGACATTTTTTCAAACTTCTTTAAACTTCGCACACATTTTTGCAATTAAATTCCGAACAGTTTTGGCCACTGAATTAGGTATGTCGTCCGTTATTTGAACCAGATTATGGTAAATGTTGTAAACCGCACGATTAAAACATGACCGGACTGGCTCCTAACGTCATATTACTACAGTTATTCGTTTCGTTTTCGTCTTGTGTTCACACAGTTTAACTGAAATTTAAATTTAGCAGCAATAATAAATATGAGGGAACTAGAGAAAGTGTAACAGACATCAAGTAGGAAAATTTATTCATGATGTAGGTTCACCCATTTATTCTATTTTCAGACTAGTAGAAATCATTTCGGTGTCTTTTATAAAAACGTTCTTCCGTATCTCCAAACCGGCTATACACTGACATCGGGAATTTTCCCACTGATTCAATAGATAAATACTGGTTTTTTGCTATCCGCTTTGATGAAATTTCAAAAGCAACAGGAAACCGATTGTCTTCTATTTGTTCAAAGGAATACGTCATGCTGCAATTTCGACAATTACAACCCATAAATAACTTAATTTCCCCATTTATCCCGTTTATGTTCCTTGTTCCGCCCATCTGAAAATTTGGAGCGACAGACATGCAGATAACGAGGTACTTACATGTATCTACAACTAGGGCTTGTTTTTCTTATCTTGTCCAGTTATGAGATTACTTTCTCGCTTTGTTACAGAACATGGGAATGCGTGTTTTATAGCAACACTTTCATTTTTCCATTTGAACTAAATTGTGCGTGGTAATGAGTCTATTTTAACAACTGTAGCACATAATCTCCTGTTAACAACGTTTTGTCAAACGTTCGGCACGCTTTTCGCGCAACCAACCAATTCATTGACATTTACACAGTTGTGGTAATTAATTATTGTTTAAGTTGTGGTCGACGAGTCAGGAAAGACTTTCACTATTGTGTCTGGTACGATACACCTTGCCAAAACCCAAAAATGACGAAGCCAAAATAGTTAAAGGTCATCACGCACCTTTTCATAAACATGTCTACTATTATGTAATCGTATTCATTATTGTGTGCTTTGTTTACTATAACTATTACTATCACTGTTATTATTGTACTTGAAAGCTCCCCATCAAACTGTGCTCAATTATCGGAAGTGAAATCTGCTAAGCGTTATGTAGTGAAATTTTGATACAATTATATAATCCGCGTATCCACTTCTTGTAAGTTGTTAAATGCCAGAGCAATTAGACAGGATCAGGCGAGGTCGGCGTTTTATTGGAGTGGAAATGGTGCGAAAAAAGGAATTCACATCAACGGCGAATGGTTAGTTAAAATGGCAAGTGCGATTTGGGAATTTACAATCTTAAAAAACGGCCTTGGTTTGACAACTAGATAAATTACAAACAAATACTTTGGATTTTTGGTGGCCACAAAAATACCATGTGATGAAAGACGATACGGATGGCTTGGAATGAGCGTTTTTGAATTTATAAATAAATTTCTTAACGTAAGAGTTTGATGGCGCAATAAACCAGAACTAAATACATTGTCACATTCTGTTTCAATTCTCAAGTTCCTGTGGAAAAATTCATTGATATATTTACTTCTAGAAAATGGAAAAGTCATGTATATTCTGAAAATCTATCATCATTAGTGCAAGTACCTACTGATTTGAATAACTTTCTAAATATTACTTAAGCTGACTAGGAACCGGATTTATGCAAAAAACATGAAGTTTTGTTTCTAATCTCGTTAGTAAAATGATCTTTTTTGTGTCGTTTTCACCAGACGCAGATTACGTTGATCACGTCTGTACTGAATTATTCTAGCACAATGATTGTTTTTGTACAATAACGGTGAAACAAAATCACGAAATCCATGAAGACATAGCCTCGATGACAACAGTACTTTTAGGAAAAATCTTTACAGTTCCTTCTAGGCAGGAATTATCTGCTAGGATTTGTAATAAGCTATAATTAAGTGTTAAAAATGGTACTACCTACAAGTACCGTTATAGTTAATTATCACTGCACTAATCACGAAATCTAATGATTGGCTTACATAAAACTGGTACGAAAAAGTTAACTTACCATATCAGGATCATTCCAATGCCCCGGTCCAGCATTAGCAACAATCACGTCTTGATTGTTCCCATAATAATCGATAATACTTTCAACACTGGCCCAAGAATCTTGAATATCGTCAAAATTCCTCCACAAATTGCAATGTTCTATTATGGCTGAGAAGTTAGGTTGCATTCCTGCGTAAATTTGATACACGGGCCAACTGCAGGAATAGATCATGGCTCTTCCCGTTTGATTTAAGTAGTACCCGAATTCGGGATACCCTCTGTCCATTTCGCTCGGATGCGCATAGCACCCGTCTAACTTAATGTAATCCACGTCCCAAGAGGCAAAAGTCTGGGCGTCGGTCCTCAAGTATCCCAAAACTCCTGGATATCCGGCGCAAGTGTAATTCCCGTAGTCTTCATAAATACCAAACTTGAGGCCTTTTGAGTGCACCTGACGTGAGTAAATTAAATTAGGTAAGCAACGCACATGAAAGACTTACATAGTCGGAGAGTGATTTCATTCCTCGAGGGAATCTTTGGCGGTCTGGGACTAATTGGCCGTAATTATTGCGTTCTTTTTCTAACCAACAATCATCCACGTTTATGTACTCGTAGCCCACGGCGGCGTATCCCTCTGAGATCACGATATCGGCCATCGTCCGAAATAAGTTTTCGCTGAAATTTTAATAGTGTGAACGAGTGGAGGAGTTCTAAGTAAGGAATACAACGTAATAAATTACGTTTTTTTTTTAAGTCATGGTATTTCAGCGGTCAATTTTATATCGAAACTACTGCTGCAGAGGAAATAAATTATACGATAAAAAATCTCCAAAATTATATCTGCTCAGGGACATCATAAAACTGAAAGTAACATTTCCAGTTGCACCGGAACGGAAGACAGCTTTTGTTTCTCGAGTAATTTCCAGTTAAAAAAATTTAACATTGGCTAAATAATCGTAATTACTCGAATATGGTTGACGTTATATTTTTTTGTTCACGAGTAGCTAGTTAACGTGACATCAGAGTTTCTCATCACGTAATGCAAATATTGGTACTGAATAAACAATGATCTTTCCAAAAAAGCGTTGTAAAAAAGTAGTTCCATTTATTATAAAAGTTGTTTCTATTCTCAGTGAAACTGGAAGTGTTTCACGATGTTTTTTTGTTTTTTAAATTCTTCAGTAAAATTTATTTTCTATAAATAGTAGTTCCGAGTTAATTTTGGCGAATTAGATGAGGTGAAAAAACCTGCATATATATTGGTTAGTTAATTTATGAACTAAACCAGCGGCAGGTCTAGATGAACAATAATATTTTTACAACTAAAGATTGACGGAACATTTTTTAATAAATTATCATAAACTGTGAAATGAGTTTTAATTTTTAAAAGGTGATTCATCGTGTGATCATGTTGTTTTGACTGAATTGGACAAAAGTTAGTTCATTGTTGAATGGTTTAAAAAAACTGAGATATATATTTATGTGTGTGCGATATTTTCTCAAAAACCAAATTTAGAACTACCTAGAATGTCTAAAATTACTACAATTTTTTAGGCTTTCAGTTTACTTTTTGACTAGCGAAACAAAAAAAGTTTGTTTGCAAGGTCATTAAATTGCAAAATTTGCATTACTGAAAAAACAAACAGCAGTTGATTTTTTTAGTTTTATTTTTACACAGATGTGGTTAATAATCCCTCAACAAATATGTACATACACAGCAGATGTTCAAAAATACCGTTCCTTCTGTGTAACATTATCTTGATACAATCACCTCATTCACCATTTTCTTGTTATTTGTGAAAGATATTAATTCCGTTTCATTTGACGGAAATGTTGCTCCGTAATTACTTTCTCAGGAAGCGTGTTGTCAATATGCTTCGTACACAAACATGGTACGTCATGTTAAATTGTTCTTGAGCAACATTTGGTGTCTCAAAACAGTTTATCATAATCTTATTTTTAAAATTTTGGTAACATTTTTCATCACGTATGTTTAAACATCAATATCTGTTTTCGGCTACAAGATTCTATAAATCTTAAGAACCAGGTTGTGTTGAAGAAGCCGAAAACAGTGGTGAAAACCGAAGTTCCGAAATTTCCATAAAAGATATTACATTCTGACAATGTATTGACACCTTCATAAGAACCAAAAGTTGCAACTTCTGTTTGCTCTTGAAATGCTGATGAAACCTAAACAATTTTTTGAGTAGTAAACATACATACATATTGTATACCAAATTGAAAATATTGTCGAACTTTTCAAAGAAAGTGCCTCTCACATTTTAAATTCAAAACCCAAATTAAAATTAATAATACTTGAGTTTTCTCGAAACATATTTTTGACCTTATACTGGTAGGGTACATAAGAAAAACACGAGGAAATCGCCTTCAGTTAAAAAAATCATGTAAAAATTTACTTGAAATAAAGATTATTTCATTCATTCAATTGGAATTATTGTGAAGAAAATTTCGTAGGCTAGTAAACTTATTCATTAGTGATAATTCACCTCAAAAATGCAAATGTATCATTCAAGGTAAGTATATTACATCAGCGTAGCAAAAATACATTCTACAAAATCCAAAGCTTTTAGATTTTTGTTATCAAAAATTGTTAAAAATAAATCTAGGAAAGCAAATTGTGTCTGATCTCATCAGCTTAACCGGGTCATGTCTTGCTAGTAAGCTTCGTCACATTAAAAAACAAACAGTGTGCGTCTACGATTTTGTCAACACAATTACCCGACACAGTATCCAAATGACTCATTTCCCCCTGATCCCCTAATTAATAGTTTAAAATTAAAAAACTAGTTAATTTGACTTGTTTTGTACATTTTATGTCTTCTAAAATGAAAACTCAAAGAGTTAATAAGAAAAGTCCAAAGCTTCGACTTCTTGATCGTTTAAAATTTTTTTATCGTGCAAAATTAGGTAATCGGATGCCATTTTTAAATTCGTAAGATTCAAATGGTTACAAATATAATATTTTTTTTAAGTACATTTTAAGGCAAATGGTAAAAAATATGAGAATTGTGGGTCTTCGGTGACTTTATTGCGTACTCTACTGGTGTAGAGAAGCCTTCTAAACTTTGAATTATTGGATATTCTTGTTAACAGGTTATTATGGTGTTGTGAGTTCATAATACCTTAAGCAGGTATCCAACGGCGAGCAATGGCTCGCGAAATTTTTAAATTCCAAACAAAATTTTTATTACACCTTTTACTTCGTCAAAAACTTTCGCAAACCTTTATATAACATTGAAATAAGAAATACAGTCTTGGGAATTTGGTTATAACACCTTGTTTTTGTGAGCACAGATTTTACTTAAAATTATATAGTTTGAGAAGAGCGCATTACGATTTAATATTTGACAGGATGAGATTACTTTGCCAAACGAAAAAATTGTTACGACATCCTCGAGTGCAAAAAATGTTCTAAATATATAACAGAATATGTAATCCCAAAATGTTTTATATGTAGACAAGTTTTTAAAAAAATTCTCTAGTTGGATACAATTTTTTCAAAAACAAAATAATACCTGATGCAGTTGTCCGGATCGTTTTTGCAGTCTGTATTGCACCTGAAGCGCTCCCATGCGAGCCACCCCATGGGGGGCGTCCTGGCCAGCCCATTGTCCAGCGATATCACACTATTAATTAGACACAGCACCAAAATCCCGGCAAAAGTTTGACATGATTGACACATTTCACGGTAATTTGACAAATAAAAGTAACCTAAAAAAATTCCACATTCACATATCCCCACAAGAAGATGATTATGGCATGCAATTCTAAGAACACAACGGGAACATTCTTGCTTAAAGGTCTTAATTTGGAGATTCGGCCGAAAAAAATCTCGCTGTTAGTAACGTAAATTTTGCGGACACATGTTTCCTAGAGCAAACGCACCCAACAACTGCCGCGTTCAAAACGCTCGAGCAACTCTACCACTTCCTCCGGCTCAACTTTTTTTCAGTTTTTGCACCACCTGCAATCCTGCATCGGCCTCACTTTCACCCATTGCCCTATATTTGCTCGGTTTATGCGCGAAACCAGTTATTTCTTAGTGGTCGTGTCGTAGATTTAAGTCACGAACTAACGGAACTCAAGAAGTTGAGTAACAGCGCGAGACGCACAATTTTGGGTGAGGATCAAGATAAGTTGGGAAAAAATTTGGAAAAAAAAGTGAATGTACCGCGACGAATAATGAATAACGGCGCCTGCGATGGGTATTGATTTATTGTTATTACCTTGAGGTTGACACGATTTTTACACAATTCCTTTGTTGCTTCCCTTTTACGAATGTAGAAGGTAAAAGTGGATTACTAGAGTGCGCCCACGGCCAGCCACGTCCTTTCGCGATCGCGGCTTCGTCAATAGTGTATGAACAGATTAAGAGCTGCAACATAAACACGGCCGATGCTGAGAGACCATTATCTTCACTTAAAGCTAGGGTCTGAATCCTAATAAACTATGGTTCAACACGGAGAAGTTGTGTTGTGTATTCTCATTGTCAAGAACATGCCGTGTTATTGACTTTCTTGCAAATGCTAACCTTTGGAACAAAGAAGATGCTCTTGTCTTTTTTGTAGTTATTTGTCGTGATCAGGTTTATTCCCGACATATTTTTCTGCTGATTAAGAGAGAGGTGTGCTTTTTGTGTCATGTCAAACACCGCGAGATTGTGTAATAGCATAATCACGGCGTCCCTGCCTATTTTGCCATCCTGGAAAGGTAACACTGAGTCAGAGTCGCAGAAAAATTAACTCACTTTATTGGGTGAGTGATGTAAGACTCTAATTTTGTTGATTAATTAAGTTGAATCGTTCAACTTAGACTATAATTGTTGTTAAAAGTTGGGTAATATCCAGTAGGCGGGAATTTGTTTCACCGGTGCAATCCCCCAGTTGAAGTAAGGTGTGTTTTACAGCGACTAGCGGGGACGCCTTGATCTGGTCCACAAGGCCGTAGCCAGTGCGTCGCTAGGAGTGTTTACAGCTAGTAAAAAAACGACTTCTATATTACTATATTACTTCAAATAATAATACTTGATGCCATTTTAAATTTTTCAAACACAGGACCACAGATTTGTGATCTTGAAATATTATATTATATTGAAATAGTCCAAAAGAAAAATATATTTGTAATCAAACTATCGCCGGGACAGCACTGGTTCTAGCGTATGAGATACAATTCCGCGCGTTGGTAATATCATAATGCACCGAATTACCTGTTTTACGAGTACGTTCACTTGTAGTCTTAACACGAATAAAATTAGTAGGACCCACCTACGTGGATAGTTTTGTGTCGTAAGCTTATTGCCATTTGTTTACGGGAAATTATTATTATTTATGATTATTTGAACAATATGTGTAGGATTCTGTCTCTGAAATCTTGACCGAAATTGCTTATTCCACTGGTGACTAAGGGAAATTATGTAATCAGGTTGTTTTGATAAATGTCTGATTTGATGTTTTCTTGGAGTTTCACAGCCTGCAGAATATGAACATGTCCGCTTCCCGTTTCCGTCTTTCTTCCTGTCTAATTCTGCGTCTGTCTGGTTACCGAACCGGTGTAAGAAAAAAAAGTGGCCCATGAGGGGATCAACAGCGGCCTTGTGTTTCTAGCACGTGCCTAAGCATCTCTGCTAAAGGCGGTTGCTGAAGGTTCCTTTTATATTATTATAAAACGACATTATACAATGTTGATTTTGTTTTTCGAAAATCGGGACGCCTAGAGTAAAAACTCAAGGTGGATTCATAAACTACGAGTACAGGAGTAATTTTTATAAAATTTAAATAGCACTTAGGATCTAAACTCTGAAGTAACGTCATCCAATTGTTGTTGGCGATGATTAAACAAATTTTGGTTAGCTGATTACACGATATGTGTAACATATGTATAAAATTTGTAATAATCGGTCGCGACAAACAGACACAAACGACAAGCAGATGGAAACATTTTTTTATTTTTGTTAACTCGTGTGCCTGAACCTAAAAACAGCTATGGACAATTAAATCTAAGGCAAAAATAATGTAATAGCTTTTTTTTTTTTGATGACAACAACTTGAGTTTTACGCGTTAAATTTAAAAATAAAAAGTTTAAAATTACGAAATTCCATAGTTCTGAGATTATTTGTCTAATAAAATTGCCAACAAGAGGCAGATAACAGACAGAAAAAAATAGAACTGCGGGTGTATATTTATAACAAATCATGAAACGTCTCAAACCATGAAATTGGATATTCTTGAAAATTAACTATTGTTTGAGAAGTGAGTGGCATGACATTGTTGATTATATTGTCAGTGGTTTCTTATCACAAAACACTTAATCAAACACAATACCTATGTGGTTGTTTGTAAACTGTGCAACTAATTTGGCCAAAAAAGGGTAATAAAATAGTATTAAAAAAATAAACAATATACTTAGATATATTGTCTTTGCCATTTCTATTGAAACACCACCTGTTCATTTTGCTTAAAATTTAGCAATTGGTAACAGGTTTTAGTTGATTGACAACGGCTTTTAGTTAGAAAATGCTCTGAATATGAACGTTGCCAAATTTACGAACAACAAGTGGTGTTTCAATAGAAATGGCAAAGACTATAAATAAAATTAATTTTAGGAACTAAAATTTTCTGTTTCATATTTGCAGAGGTGCTAAGAATATTTTCGTAAGTGGAATCCTTAGCTTAAGCTAAGAAAGTGTTGTAATTAATAATAAATAGTAATAAATTTTTGCGAATAACTATTTTCATGTTTTCTTGACATTTCATGGCCTCTAGAGTATGAAAAATAGGTTTGCCGCTGCCGTCTGTCCGCTGTATGTCTATTTTTATTAGGTACATAATCTTCGAAACTGTCGGACTAATTGTCAAATTTTTTCAGTACGTTAGGAACAGTATATAGATGGTAAAATGCTAACCAAAATTTAGCTAATCATTCCCACCAATAATTGACGTCCTGTCAAAATTTCTTTCAGTGAACGGCATTTCAATTTTAAAAATAATATTTTCTTGTACTTGTGGTTTATGAATTCGTATTGATAGTCCAAATTGCATTATCACATTTTATACTATAAGAACATTGACGTGTGCCAAACTCGGTGGTCGTGCCGTAAAAATGTTGAACTAGTAACGCTTGTTTGCGGGGACACTTTTTTTATTGATCAAATTAACCCCATTTTCTCGAAAATTGGCAATGCAGTAATGTTGCGTTCGCCGATATGTTCAGAACGTTTTGCTCCATTTTAGCTTAATTAATAATCTTTCGATGTATAAACATCAACAGTCGAAGTTAACCATGTTGTCACTTTTTATGTCTGTGAAGCATGTACTGATAATATAAATTTCTCGTCTTTAAATATATGTTATAACGGAAGAGCTGGTGTGCAAAATTAATTTTATCGATGTTTTAACATTAAGTTTACCAAAAACTACTGACATAAGACGGAAACATAGTGTAGCGATCGGTTCCCTGGGAACTAAGTATTATTGGACTTACTAGCGCTGAAAAAATCGAACATAACTTTGAAAAAATTGGTCTAAAGAGTTTAGACAGTACTTCCCTCGCTGTCGGAAACTTGACGACTGCATGCCTATTGTGTTTTTTTTCTCATTACATTTTTGTAGTGGGAATTTAAAAAAAAATTGCGATGACGTCATCAACATTTTTGCAAGGACACGTATATCAGTTGGGATAGATGTAGTGTAATACTAAGAATAAAATTATTATATTCTCAAATTTTCGGGAAAATGAATTGGGTCGTTTTGAATATTGATTTGTAATAATCAATAAAATAACGAAACAATTTACTCACGTATACGTATCAGAGGCAACTGAAAATCGTGTATGTATAAACATTCTTAATTTAAGATGACAGGCGTAACAGCATACGTGAGAGTCAAACAGAGAAACTGTAAAGAAAACGACCATCGGTTTTATTGCTTCGACTTCCGCTTATTATATAAAACATTGGGTTTTATTTTAATTCTTGACGGTGAAACTCACAATTGGTTGATTATAAACATGTCTATTTCACATTCGCGGAACCAAGTGAGCGCATAAAACAAATGCAGGTCTGTAATGTTAAAGTCGATGTAAATAAGCGTGCTACCCTTATGTTTCAACCGAGTTTTTCCTTTAACAAATTTTGTGTCTACCAAATTGGGTTGGTTGGGGTGTAATACTAATAATAAGTGTTGCCTTTAATTTAATCAATAAAATAAATTGACTTCATTAATTTTTTTGAACCACCTCTTTAGAAAATCTAAAAAATATGAATGGAATGATAAATCACAAGTACAAACTCATCATATTTTTTGCATTTTAGATAGGATTTATTCAGCAAAATTTAAGGGTGACGTCATCAATTTTTTTAGGAGTGATGAACAAATACATTTTGAACAAAAGTTTACCATGCTAACTTTAAAATATTCCCAAGATTTCAAAGCATTCGGTTTTGTAATTCCTGATTAAGGGCCGAATTCTGTATCTTAACCTTTTAATAAAGGATCCGTTCGTTAAAGGCTTTTCCGTAACCGTAAAGGAAATGTGAAAGTGAATCCTTTAATATCTCATTCTCTATTGCATCCCTTAAGGAGAAACTTTATGTAAAGGACGAACTGATGTTTTACGATAGTATATGCTTTGAAAAACGAACGCTTGCGATTTATCATCAAAATTAAACTGAACTTTAAAAATATTACCAAAAATTAAAAAAAATAAACCCTTTGTAAAATCATACACATTTTTGGAGGTACCAACACTTACCTCTTGTGTAACAACAAAAACACACACTGACCTGGCAACTGGTTATGGGGACCCTCGCCTTTAATGGATCTTTTGGTCGTTTATAAGTGAATACCCCTCCAAAGGAGTTGTTTTTGCAAAGTTATTTATTACTTACTACTATTTGGGATGTCCTACAAGTATTTGTGTTTCCATCAAATTAGGCTTAATTAACTTTTATATGAAGATTTCGGATAATACCAAATTAATAATACTTATTAGTGGCCGAAATCAATCTTATCTTACAATACCCATTCGCCTCTTATTTTATTAGAGAGTACGTGCTAGTACGTGCCAAGATAACAATGATTTTGGCAAATTACCTACTTTCTAAGAAAAGAGAGGGTGGGTGGGCGGGGTTAGTGCCTGCTAGGATAAGACTGATTTAGCAAATGACGTATCCCATAATAAATTTAATAGATTATTATTAGAAAAGACACTAGAGGCTATTTCAAATTAATTCCAAACGGGAATACCTAGAACCTCAAAATTGTTTTAAAATCCAAGATTCACATGACGATTGTTCTGACTGATATTGACATCTCCAAAAATAAGTAATTTATCGCCCGTCACATTGGTTTTGTACACGTCTTGTTGTAATTAAAAATTGAAATTGTAATCGTGTTGTGGAGTTTGGAGGTACGTATAAGAACTGTTTATATCAGCATAATAAGTTCCCAATCAATCACTATGTTGTAATTGCATAAAACAAGGAATGGAAAATAAAAAACGAAAAAGATCTCCAAAAACCACAGCTGAACAGTTTTCACTCTATATTGAAAAACTTGAAAATAACATTAACTTCCGGGAAAACCCCTTCCACCCAGGGGAAGACACTGACTATATTAAAAGTGTATGGCAAAATTTAACAGAACTGTTAAACAGCAGTGGGGGGCCTAAAAAAAATTACAAAGAGTGGAAAAAGGCAAGTTGATTATTTGTAATGCAATATAAAACTAATAAGTGAAAACGTAATATATTGCAGACTTTTAGCAACTGGAAAACCAGTGTCAGAGCAAAAGCTCGAGCAATCAAAGCTAGCCAAAAAGAAACTGGTAACGACGGTGAACCTGAAGCTCCACTTACAAAATTGGAAATACGATTATTAAATGCAACTGGGAATATTGTGGTGAATGGCCTGGATATTCCTGAATTGGGGTTGGAAGGTAATCTGTCAGTCTATCTATATTTTTTAAATTATTTATAAAAATATTGCAGAGGAACCTGTGATTTCAAAAGCAACAAACACAGCATCATGTAGTTCAACCGCAATTTCTGTGATTTCAAAGCCAGCAGGCAGTGGACCACGCAGTTCAAACGCAATTCCTGTGATTTCAGAGGCAACAGAGGCTCCGTCCAATAGTTCAGATGCAATCCAAAATATACGAAAGAAAAAATGTTATAATACATTCAACAGTGCTCTTAAAAACCTTACAATGAACACGTCTCAAAATGAAGTCGAAAAAGAAAAATTGGTGGTTTTGAGACAAATAAATACGAATTTAAGTAAATTAGTCGAATTAGAAACTTTTAAGTTGAAATTAAAATATCCACAAATTAATATTGAGGAGACTGAGGATAATGTGCAATAAGGACCAAGATATATCTAGGTTTTGTTACAGTTTATTTTGTAATTCTTGTTAATAAGTTGAGAGTTAATTTTGTGTTAAATTAAAAATTGTTATTACACAAAATTATTTTGAATAACATTGTTTCTCCTTTGTCGTCCTAGGTGCAATAATTGAACATTGAAATCAGCGTCATTAAAATCTTCTACTTCAAGTTCGTTGTGCATATCATAATCGATTTCTATTTCAATATTTCTCATTCTCATGATATTATGGAGTATACCACACGTGTAAAAAATTTTTGCTACAAATAGTGGATGGTATTTTAAAACTCTGTCCTTATGTAAACATCTCCATGCCGTTTTAAGAACTCCAATGCATCGTTCTATGCTATTTCTAGCTAAACGATGAGCATAAGTATATCGTCCTTCTGGAGTATTTGGATCTGCCCCATTAATTGGTGTCAGTAGATAAGGTGTTAACGGATATGCAGAATCCCCCAATAGCCAGGTTGTCTCATCATTGTTATTAAAGAAACATCTTCTCAAATAAACCTGAATATCACTCAGCTGCCAAATAGCTGCATCATGCACACTTCCGGGAAAACGAGCACCCATGTGCAGAATCCTTAAATCTGAATCGCATATTATCTGGCAGTTCAAACTGAAATAACCTTTTCTGTTCATAAACACTAATCTTGGCACATCAATGTTCCCTAAAACCAAAGCTTCTCCACTAATTGGCACGTGAGTGCAGTCAATGCAGCCCACAACTCCTGGAAGTTGAAAACGTTGGAAGAATCTATTTTTTGTCACTGTGATTTCTTCCACTGTGCGTGGAAATTTGATTATGTGATGAAATTGATCTATAATTATATCAATGACTACATGGATGCTTCTGCTAACAGATGACTGAGACATTGGGCTGCGATAGTCTTGCCCAATAGAGTTTTGGTAACTACCTTGTGCTAGAAAATGTAAAGTAGCGATAAATTTTATGACACTGGGTATTCTCGTCGCTCTTCCTCTGTTTATTTCTAACCGTGGTTGTAATTGTGTAAATATTTCAAAAGCAGATTCATTGGTAAGTCGGAACATTTTCTTAAAACTGTTTTCCGGAAGTTCAAATGGATTACTTGTATCTCTCAAATTTCTTCTTAATACACGAAACCGTCTTCTGAAACAATATATATGTATATATATACATATATATGTATATAATTTGAATCTTGTAAACAATGGAATGCATTGCAGAAGTGGTACTAACGCATATTTATATTGTAAGTAGTGTAACTTACCTTCTTCGTAATTCCTCTGCGATAAATAATCTCAAATTCTCCATTTTTTCTCTTTTATTTATTAGAAATCGTCACCATTAACTAATGACACTGACAAATAATTTGTATAAAGTGAAACTTAGGACCATCCGTTGCACAAAGGAAACGATAAAGGACTTCACCTTTATGCAACGGATCTATAAGGCTCCTTTACGTTTTAGAGAATAGGAATATCTTTATGTAAAGGACAATCCTTTTACTAAAGTGCCTTTATACTTTACAGAATTCGGCCCTAAATCGATAAAATAAATTCACGCCTTCATTAATTTTTTTGAGTCACCCTGCATATGCAAATCCAAAAATATGAATGGAATGATAAATCACAAGTACAGACTCATCATATTTTGTACATTTTAGATACGATTTATTCGGCAAACTTTTGAGCTGACGTCATCAGTTTTTTGTAGAAGATAACCAAATATATTTTGACTAAAAATTTATTATGCTCTTTATAACCTTAAAACATCTGCAAGATTTCAAAGCATTCGGTTTTGTAGTTCCTGATTAAATCAATAAAATAAATTTACGCATTCATTAATTTTTTTGAGTCACCCTGTATATGCAAATCGAAAAATTTGAATGGAATGATAAATCACAAGAAGAGACTCAGCATATTTTGTACATTTTAGATAGGATTTATTCAGCAAAATTTTGTGGTGACGTCATAAATTTTTTAGGGGGGACGACCAAATACGTTTTGATCAAAAATTTACCATGCTTATGATAATTTTAAAATATCTTCAAGATTTCGAAGCATTCGGTTTTGTAGTTCCTGAGTAAATCAGTAAAATAAATTTACGCTTTCATTTATTTTCTTGAATCACCCTGTATATGCATATCCAAAAAATATGAATGGAGTGATAGATCACAAGTACAGACTGATCATATTTTGTACATTTTAGATATGATTTATTCGGCAAATTTTCGAGCTGACGTCATCAGTTTTTTGTAGAAGATAACCAAATATATTTTGACTAAACATTTATTATGCTCTTTATAACCTTAAAACATCTGCAAGATGTCAGAGCATTCGGTTTTGTAGTTCCTGATTAAATCAATAAAATATATTTACGCATTCATTATTTTTTTTGAGTCACCCTGTATATGCAAATCCAAAAAATATGAATGGCGTGATAAATGACAAGTACAGGCTCATCATATTTTGTACATTTTAGATATGATTTATTCCACAAACTTTTGAACTGACGTCATCAAGTTTTTGGAGGGGATAAGCAAATATTTTTTGACTAAAGATTTATGATGCTCTTTATGACCTTAAAACATCTGCAAGATTTCAGAGCATTCGGTTTTGTAGTTCCTGATTAAATCAATAAAATATATTTACGCATTCATTAATTTTTTTGAGTCACCCTGTATATGCAAATCCAAAAAATATGAATGGAGTGATAGATCACAAGTACAGACTCATCATATTTTGTACATTTTAGATATGATTTATTCCACAAACTTTTGAACTGACGTCATCAAGTTTTTGGAGGGGATAAGCAAATATTTTTTGACTAAAGATTTATGATGCTCTTTATAGCCTTAAAACATCTGCAACATTTCAAAGCATTCTGGTTAGCAGATTAAAAATTAAATTTCAAAATGTTGTTTTATAATTTTGATTTTTTTTCCAAAAATCTGGACGTTTCGGGTGAAAAGTCGATTCAGAGTTGTAAACTACATGTGTAGGACTATGTTATTTTATACAATTGAAAACCCATTTACTATGTACAATTTTGAAGTGACGTCATCGCATTAGTGGTGGGGATGATTAGACAAATTTTGGTTAGCGTTTTACCATCTACATGATATTCTTAATATAAGTACAAAATTTCACAACAATCGGTCGAGTACTTTCGGAGATTATCTGTCTAATAAAAATTCGGGACGACAGACGGACAGACGGACAGACGTACGGACAGACGGACGGACAGACGGACGGACGGACGGACGGACAGACGGACAGACGGACAGACGGACAGACAGATGGAAATGGGAGACCTATTTCTTCGTCTTCTAGGGGTCATGAAAGATCGAGAAAACGTAAAAGTAGAGAGTCGGCCGACGGACTCGATTACAATACTTCCTTTGCTTACGCTCGGGAAGTAAAAATGCATAAAACTGAGTCCAAATAGTGCTACTTTTTTTCTGTTGGATGGAGATCTAATCTCAATATTTTGAGTAGTAAATGTCATTTAAATTTTAGAAAATAATATGCTCCTGTACTTGTGGATTATGAATCCACCTTGATTTTGTTGATTATTACTACAATTTGTACTATTTAACTTTTCTCTTCCTTTAGACACCTAACCGAAATTCCACAGACGAGTTTTTTAGAGTTGAGTAGAACGTTGGCCTTGTTTTTTATTTATTGTTATTTAGTAAACAAATTCAGCGTTTTAAATTAGATTTAAGAATCTAGGAAGAATTTTCAGCTTGCTGCCATGCGAACGAGCAAATTTTTTATGTAACATATTTGTAAGAAGTAAATAAAACTATTTTCATTGATGATAACTATGTATGTTTTACATATATTAAGCGTACATGAACTGTGTGACGTACCTAACTTAAGTAAATTTTTATGTTAAACATTCTTTAGATAGTTTTGTGAAACCATGAAAGGTTGCAGTCAAGAAAACATTAGTATGTTAATAATGGACATTGGATGTATGTGAAAATTATTTATCACTGTTAGCGGACACTGATAATTTATTGATATCGATGATAATATTCAATAAACAAACACAGTGACCGTGTATTCTGTATGAATGAACTGTCAAGTAAATATTAACTTTTACTTACCTTCGTGTAAGCTAAATTAGTTTTATCCAGTGATTGTAAGAATGTTTAAAAGTTAGAAAACAGTCGTCGGAAGAATTTTTACTTCCCGAGCGTAAGCAAAGGAAGTATTGTAATCGAGTCCGTCGGCCGACTCTCTACTTTTACGTTTTCTCGATCTTTCATGACCCCTAGAAGACGAAGAAATAGGTCTCCCATTTCCGTCTGTCTGTCCGTCTGTCCGTCTGTCCGTCCGTCCGTCTGTCCGTCTGTCCGTCTGTCCGTCTGTCCGTCTGTTGTCACGGATTTTTATTAGACAGATAATCTCCGAAAGTACTCGACCGATTGTTGTGAAATTTTGTACTTATATTAAGAATATCATGTAGATGGTAAAACGCTAACCAAAATTTGTCGAATCATCCCCACCACTAAAGCGATGACGTCACTTCAAAATTGTACATAGTAAATGGGTTTTCAATTGTATAAAATAACATAGTCCTACACATGTAGTTTACAACTCTGAATCGACTTTTCACCCGAAACGTCCAGATTTTTGGAAAAAAAATCAAAATTATAAAACAACATTTTGAAATTTAATTTTTAATCTGCTAACCAGAATGCTTTGAAATGTTGCAGATGTTTTAAGGCTATAAAGAGCATCATAAATCTTTAGTCAAAAAATATTTGCTTATCCCCTCCAAAAACTTGATGACGTCAGCTCAAAAGTTTGTGGAATAAATCATATCTAAAATGTACAAAATATGATGAGTCTGTACTTGTGAACTATCACTCCATTAATATTTTTTGGATTTGCATATACAGGGTGACTCAAAAAAATTAATGAATGCGTAAATATATTTTATTGATTTAATCAGGAACTACAAAACCGAATGCTCTGAAATCTTGCAGATGTTTTAAGGTCATAAAGAGCATAATAAATGTTTAGTCAAAATATATTTGGTTATCCCC